CTGAATACCTTATAACCTTTTGAAGACCACATGGACCTTTTACTTAGAAAACAGCAGAGTTGAAATGCTTTATAGTTCAACTTAGTTTATCACCTATATGAATTGCAGAAAATCGTTCTGCTTCACAGTGTAGGGAACATCATCTAAATGTTGGTTATAGTTTCTCGATAGCATTCTTTACTGTCTTAACTCAAAGCTTATTCTTTATCCTATAAGTTGAATGATTATATCCTTGGAGCTAGAGGGTCCTTGTTATGCCAAACAAAGTAAAATCCAGCTGAACGCTTTTTATCACTACAGTGGAGTTACCACTAGCCTACAGGCTACAGTTGTCATTTTTTACGTTTCTCGCGCGAGTGTAGGGAAATGCGAGACGTGCGCGGGGACCACGACGTAGTCGTCTTCTGCGCCCCACGCGTTCACCTCGCGCTTGCCCCGTTTTCTCGCTTGGAAAAGAAAAGAGTTCTGCTGTTTTCAAAACGGTATTTTCCTTTTTATGGCCAGACTGAAAAAAAAATGTTTTGTTACATCAATTTTCTACCAAAAATAAAACTGGCGAAAGTAGAGAATTTCGAAAAATATACGTACCTTTTTGAGAAATGACAGTGACGTCGCTAAGATGACATTTGATTTATGATGTAAAAGGTTTACTGAAAAGAAACTTAGAGAAGCATTTATTATTAGTTGGCAGCCAAAAGCTCGGTCAGAAAGTGTGGCATAGTATTACCCACGGGTTTCACGAATAGGTTTATTTACTGAAATAAAATATAGAAAGAAAAATTAACGTGTTAGTTTTTTTTCGTCTTCAACTGGTGGTTCTGTGGCAATATCTTACGTTTTTCGGTATGAACGAGTGAGGGAGAGGAAGTCCTACTAGCAGATAAGAACACTCAGACAAGAAACTTCCTATCAAAATTTCTATAATCGCAGTGTAAGTCTTCTGAGTAGAGTAATCCTTGCTTTTGTAGAGAGACCGTGCGACCATGAATGTTGCGTGACAAGCAAGTGGCATCACTTGTCACGAATATTTTCGCGCCAAAACTGAAGGGCTCATTGTCCGCAATTGACACTGTAATACTAGCTTGGAAAGGAAGGGAATCTTTTGATTTCCCATTCACACCTCCCATCTTATTCCTTCTCGGCTTTGAGGCTGTCC